AATCCTCCTGCCTCTATCTCCCAAGTGCCAGAATTCTAAATGTGTGCCACCAGACCCAGCTAATGTGGTGCTGGGAAATGAACCAAAAGCCTTGTGCATGCTAGATAAACCTTCTACCAGTTGAGCTACATCCCCAGCCCTGGCTTTGAACTCTTGCTCCTCCTGCTGCCATATCTTTAGTACTAGGATTTCAGGTATGTGTTACTCTGCCTAGCTTTATTTTTTTCTCCCTTAAACAGGGTCTCACCATATGGCCCAGACTGGCCTTATTCATTTGTTGGCAAATGGGATGGGGGTGTGTGTGTGTGTGTGTGTGTGTGTGTGTGTGTGTGTGTGTAAATATGTACAGGTGTGTGGGGATACATGTGTTTATGGAGGCCAAAGGGCCAAAGGTCTGTCAAGTGTCTTCCTCAGTCACTCTTCACTCTCTACCTATTTTTTGAGACATGGTCTTCCTTTTTTGTTTTTTGTTTGTTTGTTGAGACAGAGTTTCTCTGTATACTGTGTAGCATTGACTGTCCTCACTATGTAGACTAGGCTGGCCTCAAGCTTACAGAGATCCACCTGCCTCTGCCTCCCAAGTGCTGGGATTAAAGGTGTGCACCACCACTGGCCTTTCAAAAGCCTGAAGCTCACTGACTGGCTGGACTAGCTGGCCAGCCAGCCCCAGAACCATCTTGTCTCTCTTTCCACAGCACTAGGATTCCAGGCACCAGGCATGCACATCTTCTTATGTGGTTGCCAGGGATCTGAGTTTATGCCCACACTGTACAGCAAGCACTTTACTGATGGAGTCATTTCTCCAGCCTAAAGTGGCCTGAAGCTCCTGATCCTCCTGCCTCAGCCTCCTGAGTGCTGAATGCTGGGGTTACAGGTGTATACCCACATACCTGTCTCCCAGACCCTGTCTCCCACCTTCTGGAGGGCACAGTTCTTGTGTTACACACTTTCTGTATTCTGTGAACATACTGCCTCCAATGTAGTTGGTGGTTGATGATGACTGATTCAGTATTAGAATTATCTGTAAAGCCAGAGTAGTAGCTCATACCCATAATCCTAGCACTCAGGAGGCAGAGGCAGGAGGATTACCACATACTTGTGGCCAGCCTGATCTATATATCAAGTACAAGGCAGGCCAGGGTTATGTAGTGAGACTATGTACTGTCAATAAAAATGGGTGTGTTTGCATATAGTTATTGTAAGTGCTAGAGAGCCTTCAGGAAGTTCAGAGAAGCAACAGGGCTACACAGAGCATCTGGGAAGCATGTAAGATCCTTGGGATTTCCAGACATGGAGAGGCATTCACATGGTACTTTAGGCTTGTAGGGCACTAACGTGAAGGATGTGTTTGTTGGAGGAATGTTCAGGAAGGACCCTGTGAGCACATCCAGCAGGACTAGTGGGTTGAATTTGAGTAGATAGTAGGAATTAAATTAATACTTTGTCTGAAAGCCTTGTAATCAAGCAGAGAACCTGGAGTTCTTGTTAGTGTCAAACCATTGACATTTCTCAGAAAGGGTCACAGAGAAAATACCTAATATGAACAAAGGATAGACTTGAAGCTGGCTCCATGGTATAGGCTCCAGTAGGGTGAGAGAGATAAGAGGTTAGGTTGGGTTTTGTTTTTGTTTTTGTTTTTTCTCCTCCTAGTACTTGAACCTGGGGCCTTGCAAATGCTGAAAACAAGCACTGTCTTTTTCTGTTGTGGAACTACATCCCCAGCCTGAGGTTAGGTTTCATCTGAGGTAGAACCTGCTGTTCTTAAGAGAGCTGTGAGACTTTCTGTTCCAAACACTGGAAGAGTTTTACAGTCGGTGCCACCTGTGCAGAGGGGCAGAGCCAATGACCAAGGGGGGATGACCCAAGTGCTTCCTCTCCTACAGGAAATCGCATCCTACCTGATCACCTTTGAGAAACATGATGAGTGGCTGTCTTGTGCCCCAAAGACAAGGTGAGAAGATTCTCCAGTTTGAAGAATAATAGGACTCCTGGGCTGTGTTCACAAAACTCAAGCCTCCCGCCGTCCTTCCAGGCCTCAGAATGGCTCCATTATTCTCTACAATCGTAAGAAGGTGAAATACCGGAAGGATGGTTACCTTTGGAAGAAGCGGAAGGACGGGAAGACCACCCGAGAGGACCACATGAAACTCAAGGTCCAGGGCATGGAGGTAAGAGCATCAGACATCCACACATCTGCCCTTGCCTGCACTCCAGCCCTGGAGGCACAGTTGGGAACATTGTCTGCCTCTCCTCTCAGTCAGTCTTCTCTCATCACTCTGATCAACTGACTGATTGCTGAGCTCACTCTCAGCTTCCCATTGGCACTCCACAACCCGACTTTATGGCACCAATGTACAGTCCCCTCATGTCCCTTGCATTTCCCTCCAGTTTCTTTTCCCAAATCATTGTTCTTTTGCACTTCCTCTCTGTCCTTAGATTTCTTTCCCATATCTCAAATTGGGCCCTTTTTTATAAGACCCCCAGCTCCTCTGTTTTCTTCTCTCTGCCCCTTAACCATGACTTAAGGCCTGCTGGAATTTGGAAGGGTTGGGAATAAGGTTGGGGTCGGGAGAGGGCTGAAGAGGAACTGTTGGAAAGATTGGGATTCCTGCAAAGGGACTGAACAGAGGAAGAGTTGGGGAGCAGACTAGCCCTCCCCCCACCCCAGCCTGTCTCCTGGCAGTGTCTCTATGGCTGCTACGTTCACTCTTCCATCGTCCCCACATTCCATCGGCGCTGCTACTGGCTGCTCCAGGTAAGAACTGAGAACTCAGGGAGCCAGATTTCTGGCTCTTTGAGGAACATGGGGTCTGAAAAAAGGAAGTGGAATAGGTTCTGGGTGGGAAAAGCAGAAAGGGGGTGACTGGAATTGGAGGTTGTGCTCAGAAGAAATAAGGACTAGGAAGCTAAGCCCTTGAGTGCTAGACCCCATGACTGTCTGTGTGCCTTTGTGCTCAGAACCCTGACATCGTCCTTGTACACTACCTGAACGTCCCAGCCCTGGAGGATTGTGGAAAGGGCTGTAGCCCCAGGGAGTGGCTGAAGTGGTCACGAGAGGAGTTGTTGGGACAGCTGAAGCCCATGTGTAAGGAACAAGCATGGATCGTGTTCTAAGGGAGAGGGAGAATGGCGCTTCCCAAAAGCATTAGGGCTTCCGTGTCCAAGCCCTGTGGCTAACTAGTCCTCTCTGAACCAGGAGGGTGCTTTCCTGTTTGGACACTAGACACTGAGACTGTATGGTCTAAGATATGGCTATGGAGAGAGGGTGAAAGACAGCTGTGAGCTGTATGTCTGAGCAGTTTAAAGTTCAGCATGTCAGGGCTTTAGAGGAGCCATCAAGGTACTTTGGAAGTCTCACAGTGTCCCTCAAATCTCCTGTAGTTCATGGCATCAAGTGGAGCTGCGGGAATGGGGCCGAGGAATTCTCTGTGGAACAGCTAGTACAACAGATCCTGGACACCCACCCAACCAAGCCAGCACCCAGAACCCATGCTTGTCTCTGTAGTGGGGGCCTTGGTAAGTGACGCCCGACTCTGGAGCTCTTCTCCCGTTTAGCCACATTGCTTAACAACTGTGTTGATGGAATTTGCATACTAATTTGCAAGTCTTTGCATGTCCAGGAAGATGGGCCAGATGAGCAAAGAACTTCCTATCTGTCAGCACTGGCCCCAGAAATGTATAAGCTACAGTCCCGGCAGTCCATAACTCTCCTGCCTACTACTTTTAGTAACTACTTTTAGTAATTACACCAACAATTACACTTAATCTTAGCTTTGGTCCTTCTTAGTATCCCTTGATTCTTCTTTTGTCCTTTTGCTCTGCTTTTACCCTCTGCTCTCTTCTACTGTCTCAAGCCAGGTCTCCTCCCCCTGCTCTGTTCCTCTAGTCCTGTTTAGTTTGAGGAGAAACTAAAGGGAAGGCTG